CAGAGAAATGAACAAATTGATTGATAAGCTTGATAAATAAGTGTTGCTGTATGTCTTAGAGGTCGAACGATACAGGATTTTTTAAGGCCAACACTAACCCATTAACCCATCACTGATATGTGCTGCTGATTTTTTTTGCCTAGTTCCTGAAGCTGATACGGCACTTTCTTCCTCCATTTACATGAAAAAAGGACACATGATAACAAATGTTACACAAGTCTCAATTTAAACAAAAACGCAGCATTTATTAACAAAACATATTAACAATAAATATAATTTAAATACATAACAATAAAAACAAACAATCTTAAGATTGTTTATCTGCGAACACACGCAAGTATCGGCTGATGCCGATACAAGTAAAAAACACAAACATTGGCTGACTGATGGTCGACCTCTACAACCAAAGGAGATTTTCAGAATTTTTTAATGTTAATCTCCAACATAGACATCTTTAGAGTTTGACCAAATGTTCATAAGCTGGCAAAGGTTTTCTGAAATATTACAGCGTGATAAATTTCTTTTATAATTATGCTTGTGTTTTTTAAAATTGAGCTTTTAAACAAAAATACTGAAAAATCACCTGATTGTTTTTCTCGTTTTAAAAAACGAACAACAACAAAAAAAGAATCAATCGAATTCATAAAATAAATTTTTTTAAACAGATGTCAAGTTTTTTAGTGAATTTTTTTTTTGTGTGGGGGGGGGGCATGGTCAGTTGTGTAGTAAAGACAAACCAGAATGGCAATTTATTACTTGTGTCAATATTTTCATTAGCATCGAGTGGCTTAAAAACTTTAGGACAATCTATTTAAAATCAGTTAGTGACTGTTTGCTCCCCGAACTGTTTCTAAAATATTTCGGATGGATTTAGGTTATGGAGACTATATTACTGCAAGTTTTCTCTGCAATTCTCTTCAAACAAGTTTGTATGAGGAAGGAAAGATCATTAAAGTAAACTGTAATGTGCTGGTTGGATTAGAGGTCACAAAATCCATCAAAGTTGATAATCTGGAGAAWAAGAGCATAATGGAGATTTGAAAGTTTGCAGCCCTCCCAGTTTTAAAAGATTCATTATTAGTCTTCTACACAGTGCCAGCATTCTGAAATTCATAATGTTCACTTTGACTTTGATTCTTTGGGTTTTTTTGTAACTGTGGAAGTTTCTGATGACCTCGTCTCTCTCACTGAAGCCGTGTGTTCAGTACTGGCCGGAGCCTGGTTTACAGCAGTATGGACCCATGGAGGTGGAGTTCCTGTCCATGTCTGCAGACGAGGATGTCATCACTCGTCTGTTTCGGGTCAAGAACGTCACAAGGGTGAGTCGTCGTGACACAACACAGCACACGCTGTTCCACAACACTTATTAGAGCCGCATTAGCTGAAAGAACGACAGAAACCTCGCAGGAGATGCTACGTTTTACCAACAGCACATTTGGAGCTGCCACCTGGATCTAACGAAAGTGGTTCTGACAGTCCACGTGCTGCTGGTTGTGCGTCTGATGCTTTAAAATCTGAACGGATGAAATGAGGAAAAACAGGTGATTATCTGACATCTGTCCTTCAGCCTTATTTCTGTCTTTCCTCGAGAGGACATTAAACACAAAACACTTGAAAATAAATGCTCTCTGTAATATGGCATGGCAGTTTTTAGAGCAGCAGACGAGTCTCTTAACATACAACACAATGATATTGTTTTGAGATTCAGCAGTCCATATAATTGAACCAGTTCCCCATGCAGGTGATTMTAATCAGAAGAATTTTCTTCCCGTGGGAAAACACGCAGGAGACGCCCATTGACATGCACGCTATAAAGGTCACTCTGCTTCTTTCAATTTCTATTCGTCATTACTCAGATAGGTGTCTTCCCTTCTCCGGTGCCTTTTGGCATATTAWAAGATCAAACTTTCATTATCGTAGAGCCTGCCGGATCTCAGGAGTATTGTCCTTCATGCCCCAAAGCAGATTTTCCTTCCATTTCCTCACAAACCTTGTCACACATTTTTTTAAATGCGCTGAATTAGATTGAGCTCATGAAATAAGCGAAATATTAGCAGTGAGAGTTTTTGTCTTAGAGTTTGWACATGATTGGTTTATAGTTTTTCAGCTAAAAAGAAAAAAAACACAATTTTGGCCTTTCTTTGCTTAAGTGAGTGCATTCGTTCTGCTCAGGACACCGTCACCCAATTATAGAAGAAATCTGCATGCACGACATTCTCCCGCCCCGTGCCATTAGAAGCAACGTGACAACTTCCCTTCTTGATTGGCATCCTTACCTCCTCTGTCGGCTGCCCTTGTCATTCCCCTCTCTACCTAAGGCACCTCTTTTTTTTTTCCAACTCCGAGCACATCACAGTCAAGAAAAGGGCAACTTAACACAGCGCAGGAGGAATTAAATCAGAACTAACACACACCCTTTTCACTTTTAGCACCTCTCTCCGTACATTATTGTGTGTATTTCTGGTGCGTGACAATGATATACAAGGGCAGGGAGTAGARGCTGTGGGAAGTGCATTGTAAGCATATGTCTGTGTGGGTGTGAGGGTGGAACAAAAAGAAGAAAAAAAAGTTTAAATTCCCACCTTCGCTGAGGCAATTCCTCCGTGCATCGTTGGGTGTCTTTGCCAGCCTAATTTGCATGAGTTACAGTTCTCCACTGGTCCTTAAGTATTAGGTGAGATTCTACAGGACAAGGTTATGAACACACAGGGACCTCTTTCACACACAGCACGAGCCCCACTTACACCCACAGACACATAGATCTGGAAGTCAGGCTGCTGAGTTAGCACCACTGAAATGCCAGCGTGCAGTCTGGAGAGCCGTCAGAGGCTGGCGCATTTAGGCGGGCCGGAACAGTGTTTGCTGCGTTACAGGCACGTGCTCCGAGTCTTGACATGTGTTTCTTCTGATCTGTGCTTCCGAAGCTCCAAGAGGGCCAGCTGGTGGTGTGTCAGTTCCAGTTCCTGCGCTGGTCGGCGTATCGCGACGTTCCCGACTCCAAGAAGGCTTTCCTCAACCTGCTGGCTCAAGTGCACAAGTGGCAGAGGGAGTGCGGGGAAGGACGCACCGTCGTGCACTGCCTGTGAGTTCTCATTAAGGGTTTCAWGTGAAACAGTTTTACATCAGCTTTCTTCCTTAATCAAGAATATGGGAGAGCTCAACCAGAATCTCCTGAGTCAGTGGCTGCTGTGGTGATATATGTTTTTTTTATTTGTAGCTGAGGGGAGGGGGAAGCAACACTCTCCATTACAGGCAGACAGGAACTAAAAAGTGAGCCTCAAACATACAGTGACCATGCAAAAGCTATAAACTGAATCAGAAAAATGGTTGTACCGTAACACAAACATCTAGTGCAGGTATGGGCTACTTAAATGAGGGAAGGGGCCACCATTTTTTGTTGATACTACTAGAGGGCCACTTTATGCTGCACACTTACCCATATGCAATGAGACTGCTAAACACAAAAGTGTTTTTGTGTGAGTGTGTGTGTGTATATACATATCCATCCATTCATC